AAGTCCCTTATGGACACAGCCGTAAGTAGGAAACAGCCATGTGTAAAACTGTTTACTTACAAGAGCATTAATTCCACTGCCTTTCACAATAGGAAATAATATAAATAACCCCTTAAAGAAAATTACTTAAATAAATGTTAGAAGATTGACATGATTAAATACTATTTGGCATTTTAAATGAATTATAAAAACTAAAAAGTTGATAGAAAAACAGAATACAAAGCTCAACTCATGTTTGTACATGTACATGGATTTTTATGTACAGGAAAGGCACAGCTAGTTATTCCGAAATGTCAATTTTTTTTAAAAGTAGAATTGTGGGTGATTTTTATTTTCTTCTTTGTATTTCTGAATGTTTTTTATATAACTTTCTATCATGAGTATGCTCTTCCATTGTTATTACAAAAAACATTTTCTTACAAAATAATCTAAAGGGGTTTAAATTAAAGAATAAAAAAAGCACTTGCATATTAGCAGGTGGTTATCTCCTAAATCTAAGATGCCCTTCAAAATATATCTTTAACTAAAGAGGGCAAGCAGTGTCTTCCATTCTGTGATCAGGGAAACCTAACAGCATTTTCTAACCCATGCGTGGTTTTGGTTTTGTTTTCGTGTTGTTTATTTTTTCAGCACTGGCGTCCTTGAGCTCCCACCTTACATTTGTAATGGAACAAACCAAAGAAGATCTTGGCGCTAGTTACTGATACTTAGATAAGATCCTAAATTTCCTGTCTTGGGTTCCAAGACTATTTATCCACAGTTCTGTGCCCTTTGCCCAGCACACAGGCCAACATCATTAGAATGAATTTGTCATCGAGAGAGAGGTCATTCAATACATTTGGAAAGTACCATCAGTTCCCTAAAAATAACTTGGCAGCTCTGAGATTCACTGCTTAAAGACTTAAGACCAAAGTACACCCTGAATTTAAAATGTGAAGAAGCACACTGTAGGTTTAAAGTGTTTTCATTCACCTCCTTGCCTTCCAAATTTAGGTAACAGAATCTCAAATGTGGTCACACCTAAAGCTACTTCTACCCAGGTTGGGGGAAATTTTTTGTAATATGACGTTGGTGATGAACTTTATTGTCTCCTGTCATGTTCCTTTTTGCTCATCTTCACTTCTGAAACAACCCTACTGTCCTGTTGTGTTCGGAGATGTTTCATATAAAAGAAGCCTTATGACTTTAATGATTGAATAACAATTTCAAATTTCCATTTCACTTTACTAACCAGCTTAGATGTGATTTAATACAGCATGAATAGATTTCCCTCAGAGGTGGATCGGAGGTGCGTTGACTAGTTTTCCAACTACCTCTTCTGCACACTAAAATAACAGCAGCAGATTGGGCTGGGGGTACAGTTCAGGTAGAGCACTTCCTTAGCAAGCCATGACCCTGGGTTCAATCCTCAGCAAAGAAAAATAAAATAAAATACATGAAGAACTTACAAGATACATTTGTGGCCTGGTACTACCATAAGAGAATCACCAACCTGCCCAGAGAAGCAGAATGACTGCTGACACAAGACTTCTCCAAAGACAAGAAAATCTGTGGGTTTTTATATCAAAATGTTCACAAAGATTCCCAAAGGGAGCTAAAACATTTCCTAAAAATTAAACACCTGCCTAAATATTTTGCAAATAGCTCCATTAAGATTATATTTCTTTTTTTCCTTTGGTTTTTTGTGGGGGGTTATGGAGGAGTACCCAGAATCAAACTCAGGACCTCAAGCTTGCCAGACATAGACTGTATGTCTTAATAATAATAATAATAAAAGAATGTATTTCTTCCCAACCAGCTTGAGGAACTGAGCGTATCTTTAAGACATTAATTCTTTTCAGTAAATATTTCTTTAGTGCTAATTATGAATAGAAGTCTGCAGAGGACTTCAGTGATCTACTCCAGATCTAGTGACACCCAAGGCACTACGCCTACCCAGAAGTGACCGACTTCTCATCCAAAGTGCTACTGCCTTTAAAAAGGAGCCTTGAGGAGCTAGCAGAGTGCACCCCAACCTTCATGAACTGTTATTCTTTTTAAACAAACTTCTTCTAAAAGCTTATAAGCCTTTGGTTACCTTTCATAATTAATTTAAGAGGGCAGCAGGGTATAAAGAGAAAATAGATAAATTAATCTCAAAGTTTGGTTCTGGCCCTTATCAGTCAGACACAATTTTTGAACAAAGTGAACAATAATTTACTATAAATAATAAAATAGGATTGATCTTGCCAAAGAGTAAGAACCAAGGATCATCCATGTGTACTAATTTGGATATGACAAGCTTGTAACTTTTATAGTGTTTTACGGCTCTTTCTTTCCAAAGAAGCACACATCCTATTGCACAAGGCTGGTGGATATACAAGTATCCTCTGCCAAAGGCAGCTGGGAAAGCAAAATGATTAGTTAAGTATGGTTTTTCAAACCTGAATTTGTAATGGGTCATTGTTCAGAAATATTTGGTGCTTAATAACCTTGAAACCTGGAATTCAGAATGGTTTTCCAGCCCCAGGGCTACATGGTTTGATGGCTCACGTTCATAAATCTACCAAGAATGGATTCTGGCCATTGTAACTGCACTCACTGGGCGTAGCTTTAAAACAAAACCCATAGAGGGCATCGATTATGCCTAGCACAGTGCCTGCCTAAGATGAACACTTGGTGAAATTGGTGGACCCAAACTGGACATGAATTCTGTCTCCCACTTAAGTAGGTTTGGAAAATATAAGCAGGTTGGCAAATAAGGAATCACCATCGCTTGTAAACTTTGTTCTCAAAGATTCACATAACACCAGAGGATTAATTAGTAATGCTTCAGGTATCTCTGGAATTCAAAGTTTAGGGGATATCCCTGTATTATCTTGTACAAAATGAAACCAAATTTCTAACAAGATGATCAAATATTTACTATTCCCTTCAAAAGATAAAGGTACAACAGTCAGGGGTTGCAAAGAATCACAGGAAGAGTGGCCACATTATTTTCTCAGGATCAATGGCATAGAAGCATCTTATTTCCAAAAGTCCAGGCCAAGGACACTCGCCAAGTTAGGCCAATCTGGGATCAGAATTTCCCTGTGGAGCTCACCACTCACCCAATAAGTATACAGCTGCTGGCTTTACTTCTAGATACTCTTATTCCCTGAGATTATCAGAATCCCTTCCAGGGTGGGCTCCCTGTCCAGGTAGAAAGAGGCAAGAAAGCCAAAGTCATTCTTCTAAGGGTTCCTGCTAAATAGCTTCCACTCACCAAAGGATTTTGCCAGAGCCTCAGCAGAGTACTGTAATTCTCAAGTGACACCGCAAGATGGATGTTAAATATCAAAAAAATGCCTCCTGTTTCAGAGCCTGCTTTGTTTTTCCTAATTTTTAACAATTATCTTTCATCATAGCAGTACACAGAGTTCTTTTTGATCCTGTATGTGAGTTAAGCAATGAGGAGAGGGTGCTGTTTACATTTCCCCTCTGACTCTCATCTGTCTATAAAACTAATTTTTTTCAATTGCATTGGAAATTGTTTTAATGTCAATTAGATTTATTTCCCTATATCTCCCGCCAGAGGTTCAAACTTAAAGAAAAAACAAAACCTATAACCTCAAAAAGTCAACCTCATGCAGAAGTCAGCAGGATGAATTTAATGCTTTGCATAGGGATATTTGCATTCTCATTAGCTTTTGCAAATGCAACATTTCTCATCCTCTTGGGTTGAAAGCAAAGGTGCCCAGAGAAAAGAAAAAGTACCTCTGTGTGCCGTTCTAACAGGTTAACATACTGACCCGCTTTAAAGGGAACAAATGGTGTGGCTTAGGGCAATTAATGTGAGGACTTCTGGGGATGCTCCTAGTGGTGAGGACTTAAAAGGAAATTGTGCACTGACTGTAGTGGGTGAAGTGTGTTGCTCCCATTAATTGTTGTCATCCAAACCTCAAATATGATTGATGCTAAAGGCTACTTAAAAGTACTTTTGATTAAAAGAAGTTGCAAGGGGGAAAAAAGCTGTGTTAAATTAAGAAATATATGTGAACTATGTTCTACAAGTGCTAGCAGTTAGAAATCAGCAGTTATGTAACAGGTTGATTTGTTTTAATTATAAATTTTACAGTGACATCTAGACAAAATAGATGGGGTCAAGTCACTAAACACTTTTGTAATTCAAATAGAAAATAAATTCACTTAGAAAGTGGGGGCTTATGATGAGACAGTCATACCCATCTTCTTGAGTAACTACTAGGGAGGAAACAAAATTTGGTGGGGGCTGAAGTACTAATTTATGATGCTTCGAAATAGAAGACAGTGCCTGACGGACATAGTTATCTACCTTTGGCAGCGCTGCAAGTGATTAAAACTAATGACTCTCTCAACCACCCTCCAGGACTAGATCTTTCCTCTTACTGCTCCCTCTGGCTCTGAACCTCTCGGGTTTCTCCCCCAGCTCCAGCCCCTTGGGGCCAAGGAAAGTTGGGGGCCCTCCTCACTCTCCAGACCCCAACGTATCCACCTCGGTTCCGTGGACCGAGATCCTGGGCCCCAGGTGCGTAGGAGAAGCCAACCTCTGCTGAGCACCCCAGGCCTCAAGACCCCCAGCTCGCCGGTCCAGATCGTCGGCCCCATCACCAGGCCTAGCGAAAAGAGCCCGCGTCGTTGGCTTCGGAAAGCAACGCAGCTCCCTTCTAGGGCGCAGTCCCGGCGGTCTGGGTTCCGGCTGGGGACCCGCCGAAGGACTTTGACGGGTGAGAGCAGGCGACGCCAGAGCCAGGCCGCCTCCAGCCGCTGTCAGCCCTGCCCAGCGCCGGCGACAGAACGCAAGCCCGGCGACCCGGTGCCGCGCCGCTCCGCGCCGCGCCGCGCCGCGCCGGGAGAGAAGCAGCTGTTCCCAACAGCTGGGGGGCGGCGGCGCCGGGCGCCCCAGGTGCTGTCCCGGCCAATCGCAGGCGTCCGGCCCGCCCCCTCCCCAGCCGGGCTTCGACCCCCGGCCCGCGGGGGAAGGGAGCAGAGGGGCGGAGAGACGCGCGCCGCACTGGTCTTCCAGCTTCCGCGGCGGGAGGGACAGACGCAAGCCGAAGCCGCGCGGGCACCCTGCTGCGCCCCCCGCTGCCACCTCCGCGCTCGGACGCGCTCCCGCCGACCCTCCCCGCGCCCCGCCTAGGGCCATTTGCAAGAACGGACGATCTACCTCTAACGCACCCTCCTCTTCGCCTGACGACCACCCTCTCGGCATAATTTTTAAGCTCCCCGCGGGGTGAGTGGAAACGCGCGCACGTTCTCTAGACCCGGCTCCCCAGCCCAGACCCAGACCCAGACGATCCGGAGAATCTGTGCGGTGACCGGCAGGGGGGGCGGGAGGAGAGAGCCAAGTCGACTCTCCCGGGCTGCCGGCGACTTCGCGAGCCGCGCGCCCCGCGCCCCCGGCCGCCCCCGGCCGCTCGCCCCCGCCGCGCCGCCGCCGCCGCCGCCCTCGCCCCGCGCGCGCCCTCGGGCCCCGGCGGCCGCGGAAGGCTGCGGGACGCGCGCAGCCCGAGGAGGAGGCACAGCCGCGGGCCGAGCCGTAGCCGGATCCGGATCCGGAGCCGGAGCCGAAGCCCGAGCCCCAGCCCGAGCCCGAGCCGCGGGGCGGGCGCGAAGATGCACACGACGCAGAAGGACACGACGTACACCAAGATCTTCGTGGGGGGGCTGCCCTACCACACCACCGACGCCAGCCTGCGCAAGTACTTCGAGGTCTTCGGCGAGATCGAGGAGGCGGTGGTCATCACCGACCGGCAGACGGGCAAGTCCCGGGGCTATGGATTTGTAAGTTGCACCGGTTGGGGCTGGGGGGGGGGCCGGTGGCGACAAAGAGCTGGGTGGGGAGGCACCGAGTGGCGCTTGGCCAGGAGGTCGGAGCTGCGACGAGGGGCTCGGCGGGACTCGGAGCGGTGCTGCCCCTTCGGCCCGCGCTGAGCTGAAACTTTGCGTGCGGCGGCGCTCGGGGAGGGAGGGCCGGGTTCCGCGGGGACTCCGCGCGGAGCTGTGTCGGGGCCCGGGCGGGGCAGGGGTGGAAGGAGAAGACTGTGAGCAGCGCGGGATTTGGGGTGCGGCGGGCCTCGAGGGAGGGGCTGTAACCCCGCAGTTGCAATCCTGTGTTGAGGCCGGTTGTTAGGTGCGCCGTTGCTTTGTACAAATGCTTGTGCCTTCTTGGCGTTTCGCCTGGGGTAGGGAGGGGACACATGGTGAGGTCAGGGGCTCGTCCCCGCGTGTCACAACCCCACCTTTTTAATGGCAAAGGTAGGTTCTTTACAAATAATAATAATAATCCTTTGCTGAAACGAGACAGTACTGTTAGCTTGCTGGAGATTTAAACCCGCAGATTCAGCTGCGGAAGAGCAGGGTGCCCCCAGAGTAGGACAATGGCTATTGTCGTTGGGTACTGTTTACTGGTGGTTGGGACCTTAGGGCAGATGTGAGGCTGAACTTTGTTTAAAACAAACAGTCAGCCGTTCAGGGATCTGGAGGGGGTGGTGCAGGTGGAGGCCCAAGGATCTACAGGAGTTTCAAGAATCCAGGCTTCCAAAATCTCTGCTAGGCCCTACCAGCACACAGGATTTAGGGTTGGGGTGGAGGGTTTGTCCCTTCCTCCTTTTCCTTCTTTTCTTTTTTTAATGGGGGGGGGGGGTCGAGGTGTATAATGTTTACGGGGAAAAAAAAGGAAAAAGGGAAAAAAGAAAGAAAAAGTTTGACCTTAGTTTCTCCAGCATGACTTCTCCAGTGCCATTTGGATTTCTTTCCAGGGTTAATTGAGAGCTTTGTGTATTTGTCTATGTGTGTGTGTATGTGTGTTGCTAAGGTCACTATGGCTGATCGGGCTGCAGCTGAAAGGGCCTGCAAGGATCCCAACCCCATCATTGATGGCAGAAAAGCCAATGTGAATCTGGCATACTTAGGAGCAAAACCAAGGATCATGCAACCAGGTGAGAAATGTCTGTCTCCCTCTCCCCCTCCCCGAATCCCTCCACTTATGGATAGAATGTTTCCCAGATCCAGAAGACATTGGCTCCCTGAGAATCTATAGATGTGTTGGGCAAACTTCTGTGCCTGATTATTCTGCTGAAGCCTTAAAGATACAAGACAAAATACTCCTTTCAGGATTTGAAACGTACCTGTGTTCAGACAAAATGATCTAGGGATCTGGATAGTTGTGGAAAGACATGAGAGTTTGTTTCCTGTAGAGTATGCATTTGTGCTCTCCTCTCAACTTTCCAATTTTTAGCTAGCCACTTGTAGCTAGAAATGCCAATTAGGGGATTATAAGGGCCCAATTTGTTAACTGCAACCAGTGCACTCCCTGTTTAGTGTGGTCTCTGCTTTTATCACCAGTTGCATGCTTCCCAGGGCAGGCAATCTGACTTGAACACTGCCCCCAGAGAGGCATGGGGTGGAGGTGGTGTCCAGATGGAGAAGCTTTAACATAGAATCACAGAGTACTAACCAAGAAAACAGAGTGACATCACCTACTTGTGGTCCAGAGTTTTTAAAATGTTGCTTATTTAGAGATGAGAAATAGCTTACTTGATGTGATGAACTGTTATATGCCAAAGGTGAGCAGCAGTGTTTTTTTTTCTGTGAAGACATGACCTTTTGAATAGTTTGCCATACTGAGTTTTAAAGCATTAGTGCAAATAATTGAGAGTTGACTATAGAGCTAATTATTTCCTTGGGCAAGCAAGAAGAGCTTGTTTTCATTAATTTTAATACTGTGAACTGTAAAATGCATAATTTTCCAAAGCATTGTCCAAATGCTTTGGAATTCCAAAATTGTCCAAATTACAGATATTTTAATGGATCCTGGTTGAGAACTGTAGGTGTATTTGTGACATGTAACGTCATTGTCAGGTCCTGTTGTCCGTGGTTTCATTTCATGAGCATTTTTCACTGGTCTAATTTTTCTGTGGTCTTATTTTGTATCTGGCAACTAAACTTTGCAGTTTTTGTTTTTTTAAGTTTCCATTTGTAGTCTGTTAAGGCTTTTATTCTGTATCAATAATAGCATTGATGAAAATAACTTTTAAAATATATGCACTTCTCTAAAGTATCATACTGGGAAGCTTATGTGTTTTAATTAAAATTGGGATTATGTTTTACATGTAGGCATATTAAATACTTGACTACACACAAACTGAGAATGTGTTCTATTTTATTGTTAGGTTTTGCCTTTGGTGTTCAGCAACTTCATCCAGCCCTTATACAAAGACCTTTCGGGTAAGTCAGTGCATCAGACGCTATGAAGTGTCACTGTGGCTGTTACTGGTTCTTCTGGTTCTTTGTTATATACAGAGAAGAACAACATGTCACAAAATGTTCCTGGTGATACATATTTATATATGTTTGTGTATTTTGAATTTGGATACTATAAATATTTTTAGATGAGTCAAGTTATCTGACCCAAGTATTGCAGCCTCCAAATCAGACAACTGTTGAGCTTATGATTAACAAAACAAAACAAAAAGCAAAAATACCAGGTATGACTTGTGTACCAGACGACTGTGTCCCATCATCATTACTGCTGTTCAACTTGACTCAATTGTATTTATCTCTTTCTAACCTGACAGGGCTCGTATACAGTTAAGCTAACTGATGAGAAGGATACCATGATAAGAGGTGGAATAGTTCTGTTTGGAATTAAACTCTGTAACCGGTAGACTCAGACACACAAGCTCAGATGGTGATTAACGATGCATGGATGTTGGTGTTGTTGTTTTATTTTTCACAATAGTCAATAGCCCTCCGTGTGCTTTATTTTATTTATTACAGTCATGAAGTGGTGTTGATAGCTAAACTGTGTGCTTTTTTACTTAATTGAAAAGAGCTGTAGTGAAAGTTTTCTTTTCCTCGGGGAAGGGGCTCTTTGTGTTTTGGTTTTGGTGGTGGTGTTGAGGAGTGTGGACTTTTCACTTTGCCATGGGAAGCAAAGGGCCTTTTTTCCCCTCCTGCTTTTTAAGCTATAGCCTGACTTCCGTTTAACCATATCTTTGTAGTGAGTGCTAAATTGTGTGATTTCTCTCTGTCAGAATACAGATTCATTGCTTGCATGTCCTAAGTTTCTGTTTTATGGGAAGTTGTCTGGGAATGGGATTCTTTCTTTTATAATGCATATCCACTTCTAGGTCTTCTAATTTAAAATTTCAACAGCTCTCCTCAGACTGCATTAACACTAGCCAATTTTGGCGGTTTTTTTGTTTTTTTGTTTTTTAATTTTTATTTCTGCTGTGAGTAGCTTAGCACTGACTTCCGTTATAGACCTAACAGGTGCACATACTTGTGTTAGCACTAGGCCCTGTCATGACCAGCTTTCCTGTTCTGAGGTCTCAGTTCTTGTCCATTTAGACATAATATGGGTTGGAGATCACCGCCTACAATTTTCCTGATTGCCAAAGTCTGTTTGGACTGTATTCTACCTGATCAAGATTCCTGTAGTCCGAATACTATAGATTTAAACTTCTTTAAATGTGCTAGTTGTTCAGTACTCTACTCTAGTGTAAGGCCTAAATATTTGCATGTATAACCTGTAAGGCTGGAGTCTACCTACATACATTTTAGCAGATATGTCTCCAAGAGTAGACCAAAAAAAAAGTAATGCTTTGAGGACAGTCAAGTTATATTTTCCATGAAGACTTTTTTACCTTCCCTTCGCATAGCAGGATCATACTCTTACTGCCAAATCTGACTTGTTTTAGCTAAAGAATCTGTTGTCCAATATGATTAGAAAAGGCCCATATGCATAGTTATGCATAGAAGTCCCGTCTAAGCTTTCCTAGATACTGCCAACAAATGATGGATTGTTGGGTCTGTGTACTGCTCCGTCCAGACAGGTATTAGCGTATTTTCATTTTTTTCATTGTGCAAAATTAAGAAATTACACATTTGTTTGGGAAGCAAAAAATACAAACCAGTCAAGGATCACTGATTGCTGAATGACTTCGTGTGGTTTGAACTACAAACAGATTTCAGAGTAGCAAGAAAATAGATGAACTGAAAGAATCAGACAAGGCTGAAGCAAAGTAAAGTAGACTCGAACTTGACTTAGTTATGTCTTGGACAGGCTAAAGCATGATTGGATATATCTGAAGAGTAGAAAGTAGAAAACATGAACAAAGCCTCCCTGGAGAAAAACTTTGATACATGGAGAAACAAGACTAAATGGACGGTCTTGACACTTAGGTATAAACATTCAGCCTAGTTATGATCATTCTTAAAGATTGAGAAATAAAGTACCACAAGGAGAATAAGAATCACCAAAGTAAAACATGTCTTACTAAAATTTTAAATCAAACATGTTTTGATAGCAACTTTTTGTTTTTCATCTCTTGTAATATTAACTGTCTTTATAAAGGATGTGATTGGTACTATGTGCATAAATTGTCTGAACTTATGAGGAATAGATAGCATTCCAGGTGGACAAAGTAAGCTTTCTCTTTCTTTTTTAAGGGATTCTCAGCGCTGCTGTAGTCCTGAGTCTGTACCCAACAAATCACACCTGGTCATCCCAAATTCTATTTGAATGCCAAATATTCTTATTTTTAGGCTTGGAAAGAAGCTTGAGAATTTTAAATTTTACTTGACTTGTTTGAAATTCTAGTGATGAAACTATTTTTTTAATATGGTCCTTAAATGACCCCCAGGTTACCCTGTGTCTTCAAAGACAAAACATGGGCCTGGAATAATTTCTGATTTAACACAGTGGGCAGATGTAGAGAACCTTATAAATTTGCTGAATAATACCATATAAGTAGCTTATGTTTGAAGACAGCATTTTCTTATTACAGCCTTGGACAGGCTAGGCTATAGATCTGTAAAGACAAAATGCTGGACTCATTTAGACTAGGTTGAACATAGACTTAAGCATTTATCAGTACGTATTTCAGGGCGAGATTTTGTGTTAGGTGCAGTTACCCCTATGCTAGATACTTACTATGTCCACTGTGGGCAGAAGGGACTGTAACTAACATTTACCCAACATCTGCTCCATGATACTGAAAAGGGATTTACATAAATTATATAACTTAATTCTCACAGCAGGCATTTAAAAAACTGTCATTGTTCTTTCCGTGGGCAAAACAAGCAAATCAGCAAACAAAAAACTAAGATGCAGGAAGCTTAATTAACTCCCCCCAACCACAGGACTAGTAAGTGTTCAAGTCTGGTTCTAGGTTCATAATCACAGTCTGCCTGACCTCAAAAGCTGGGAGTGGTTTTAGAACTCTTCATGAAGTAGAAATTTTCCTAGAATTTGTAGGGAGGTGAGGACGAGGAACTCTTACTAAACACTCAGTGTGTAATCATTATAGGCTCTCCCCATCGATCACTTTATTTAGTATGCAGCAAGTTGGGGTTGATAATTTTAGTTCGCCTCACGTATGCAACGCGTGAGAATAAAAGGTGAACACATTTACGAAGGCTGTACACATCATGAGCACTACAGCAAGGTGGAAGGGCTTGGATTTCAGCAGGCCTGAGTGGAGTGAGGGTTGGCATCCCCAGTGAGGGACAGATTCGCATAATCAAGGCAAGGACCTGGGATCCTGTGGCATGTCCAAGAAACTCTTGAGGAGCCCAGTTGAGCTGGGTTCAAGGAGAGGTGGAAGGAAACACTCGAGGTAGTTTAGATTCAGGTGCATGGAAGGCCTGGCATGCCAAGATTTAAGAAATGTGCACATCACTTGGTCCGTGATGTTACGGCGTTGGGAAGTCCTTTGAACAAATGAGTGAGATGATACTTTGTCAGCAGTTTTATTCAGTAGATTGGAAGAGGAAGTCCACATGTTACTTCAAAGTCACAGAGATGTCAAAAGGGCCTGAGGAGGCGGGAAGAGAAAAATATGTGGTAACTTTTCTTTGAAAATCACGCAGAACGCAGAATATCAGCTTTGCTCTTGGGCTTTTGGAAGTGCGAGGCATGTGTACTCAGTGGTGAATTGCAGGAAAGAATATTGTTAGAAATGTAAAAGGAAGAGGATTCCAGATTGCTTCAGTGGGTTCTACTGGCAATCAAAAGAACTCCTAATGCAAGAATTGGTTCCAAAGTGTGCCCTCCCCTCTCATCCCTCCCCGTTAGTCCACTTGGCCTCCCTTCCTGACCCAAGACGTGTTAGGCTTTCCATGGTCTTCTGCGCTCTTCTTTTCCTAAGCCTAGCTTTTCTTTTGCCTGCCAGACATCTTCTTTTCCCTTGCGAGAGTTCATGTAGGCGTCTGATCCACCCCCAAAATTATACTTTCATTGGTTGTCTTTATCAACTCGGAATTATTTCTTAATGGAAAGTAAATGCAGAGATAAGAGTCCTCTTAGCAACCCTTCCTGTATGTTAATGCATTTTTTTCAAATTCATACCCCTCCCCCAGAGAGAGAGAGAGAGAGAGAGAAACAGAGAGAAGGGAGAGAGGGAATTTCCTCCTGCCTTTTGTGGAATACATAACTTCTTTTTGGCTAACACTGTTAATCAAACCTAACAACCACTGTATCATCCTTGAAACTTTCAGAGTCCAAGGGGTTAATGTTTCAGTATCAGTGAGGCTCATACTGGCTGGCCTTTCCAGCTGATAGATGCTTTACTTTGGCCTTATAAAGACATTTTACCCGCTGGAAACCCTTGTCGCATGACAGGATCAAAAATAGCCCGGCTGCAGCCACTGCTGTCTATCACCACATGTAAACTGGCAGGGAAGGAGGCTCTCTTAGCCGTGTCTGCACATTGTGGACGTGGGGGCACCCGGGACAGTGTTTAATAAAGCCACACCTGTCGCTGAGAATGAGCCAGTCACCTGATCTGCAGCAAAGCTCTGAGTGTGAGCATGACCACGCATCTGGTTTCTGATAAGCAGTTGAGAACATCTCTAAGTGTCCTCAGAAACACTTGATGACGTCGTTTCTCCTGGCACTGGGAAAGATCTACAGTTCTAGTAACATTGAATGTATTTTTATCACTGGGGTCAAAGTTCACTATCCCTTGATAAAATTATCTTTTCCATAGATGCCCATTAATGAATGCTTTCAGTAGAATTCTGGAAAGGCAAAGCAAAATCTATGCTTCTGAAAAATCTAAGTATGAAATCTCGTTTTGAGTTCTTTAAATTTGAAGGTTGTTACTTGTGCTTCTACTTCTTATAAGTTGGGATTGTTGATATCGGATAGCATTCTAGTGTCATATTTTTAGAAAGAGCGGGGGTTTTGATGGAGACTATTTTAAAGAAAGAGGAAAATAAATATTTGAGTTAGTGTTTATAAATGGACAGTAAAGAATCACAGGAGTGAGAACTAAGATGCATGGGGTTCTTTTTACATCTCTTATGATTTATTCTTTTACCAAATTAACAAATTAAAGTAAGGTCATTGGCATCTGTCTTGTCCGTGATCTACGAATGTATAATTTTCAAAGGTACTTGGTTTTGTTTCTCTGTCTTGAAGTTTTGCAGGCTAATCATAATTATTCTGGATGCACAATCCTTACAAAGTTTGAACTAGTAGGGCAGATTTACAGCATATATAATAGTAAATCTGTTTCTGTTGATCTGGAAGATAAAAGTAGTCAATGTGCAGAAGAAATGTTGCCTTATGATCTGTGCCATTTAAGTTTCTATGAACTTGAGAAGTATTTAGTTTGTCTTTCCTGCCCTTGCCTTTTCCCTGGCCGACACCGTGTCCCCAGCCCTCCTTCTGTCTGTCTTGCATAGAGGTAGACAAGATGGCTGACGCTCAGGTGCCTGGTAGTCAAACAGGTTTGGTTGACCATTGTGGCCTTCTGGATTTTACGGAAAACCAAGAGAGAAGGGAAGAAACAAAAAAGTGTGCTGCACCACTCTTTGGGAATCACTGCCGTGAATGTTAATAGCATTTTTGTAGCTTCCCACAACAGCCTCTTGTGCCAGAGTGAGCTGCACTACAGTTCGTTTGAGAAGTGTGATTCTGCTGTGTTTACCACACTTGTGAACTTTTAAACTCCTGTTTTTATTTTGTCGCCTGCTTCTTTTTTTTTGTTAATTATCATTTTTAATAAGGGTGACTGAGGTTGCAGAGAGATTAATGTGTGCCGAGTCTGCATAGCAATTTCCAGTAGGGTTGCCATGATAACCAGCCATATGGACTTTGTGGAAATTTTAGTTCTGACAAACTGGCCGTCACCCCCACAGAGCTGGGTGGTCACATATGGTATTACTTTTGAGTCTTATATTCACAGCTATGAATTTTTCTATTTGCTAACTATTTTTCTTATATGAACCCCATACAAAATCTTCTAAAGACTTATTGCATTAAAACTCTATTATGTGTGCACACCCCTCACCAACCTTGATTTATTTTCCAAACTTTGCACCAGTAATATTCAATGGGTCTAAATAATCCGAAGTGGAAAATTGTAGCAGGGAGCATGTCATCCTGTTTTCACGGGTGAATTATTTTTGGGGGGTGCTGCATGACTTTGGCCAGAGTGCTTTCAATGGACATCTAGAAAGATATTGTGGCAACCCTATGTCCATAATAACCACTAAATTTGAGTTTGTCTCATTTCTGAACACCTAATGCTACAGATCGGAGGTGATGGCTGCCTGACTTTGTCTCCCATTTCTCCACAGGATACCTGCCCACTATGTCTACCCGCAGGCTTTTGTGCAGCCTGGAGTGGTCATTCCACATGTCCAGCCCACAGCAGCTGCGGCCTCCACCACGCCATACATAGATTACACTGGAGCTGCATATGCACAGTACTCAGCAGCTGCTGCCGCTGCAGCCGCCGCTGCTGCCTATGACCAGTACCCCTACGCGGCCTCTCCAGCTGCTGCAGGATATGTCACCGCTGGAGGCTATGGCTACGCCGTCCAGCAGCCTATCACCGCTGCCGCACCTGGGTCTGCAGCTGCAGCCGCAGCGGCAGCTGCCGCTGCCGCAGCATTTGGCCAGTACCAGCCCCAGCAGCTGCAAACAGATCGAATGCAATAGACCAGCCACTTGATCAAAGTTGAATTGTTTTCTCGTTCCCTCCCAATTTTCCAATTTTCAGTCGCTAATGAGAGAGTTAACATTGACTTAACAGCTTTAAAAAAAAAAAAAAAGAGCAATGCTATTGTGAAGCAGAATTCTTATTTTTTTTATAGTAGTGTCCTAGATGAAAAGGAGATGAGAGTGAGGGGCCTGGGCGCAGTTTTGGAAATTGATCCCAAAGAGCCTGAGTAAACAGAAAGGCTGCTCCGCAATGAATGACAGCCGGAGGTCTGATGGAACTTCACTTTTGTAATGGGATTTTTATTTTTGCTCTTTTCATAGTATCAGGGAAGCAAACTGCCTTTTACAAGTTAGAAAATGCTATTTGAATCTAGTTGAACCAGGGAATACAGAGAGAGCAATATGTAGCTTGAATTACGTTTAAAAGCAGATTTTTTTTTTCTTACAAACAAAACGGCGAACGCACTGATTGTCATTTTTAAGCAGTCACTACGGCCTATAGACCTTTTTCAAGGAAGAAGGTAGTGTCCGTGCTATCTCAGAACCGGGCATCGAACAATCAATCTAGGAGCGTGGCGGTGGGTACAGTGGTGGACAGGCACCAAAGCTATTTTCTCATCTGTCCTGTGGACGAGTGGGACGGTGGAGCAAGTGATGTGGAGTTAATGGGTGCAACAGCTGTACAGACAATCAATAACACACACAGTTCTGGAAAGAACACATCACTTGTGCTTGTTTGATGAGCTTGTCACATTCTAATCCCTCTCCCCATCCTGTTTCAATTTTGGGAAACTTGTATCTGCTGGTGTCAGCAATTCTGATCTCTAACCAGGATCAGGCATTTACTACAACAGCCTTCTCTTTCTATTTATTGTGTCGACTTGGGACTTGGGAATAAAGGCAGGTGAAGTTTGCAGATGCTAAGCCCTTAAGAACCTTCTTAAGGATGTGTATCCCCCCCTTTTTAAATGATTTTACACTTTTTAGTATCTATTTCAGAGTCCTATTTAAAACTATTTATTAGTGAAAACAGTTCCTGAGACAACAAGGTTATTGAGATTACAATTCTTCAATGGTTAATGATAATGTGGTTTATACTGTGCCTTAATAGTAATGCTATTTAAGATATTTATTTTTAAGTTTTACGATGCTGCACTCTAAAGAAAGGAACTTTAGATGTGACGCTGTAAAATTATGTATTCATCTCATGGCATAAATTATTTAGTAGGTCTAGATGTAGCATATTAAATATTAACCTATTCAACTAAAGATGTTGACTTGGATTTATTTAAATTCATATGTGCACTGTATAAGAGAATACTTTTACATTAACACATTTTAGTTTATTTTAGTCTTGAGTTGTTTTTTTTTTAAGCAAGCTACATTGCTAGTTTCATGCTTCCTTCTCTGATTTTCGCTTGTGTAGATCTCATTTATTGGTAATTCATCACTGTAACAACTATTCTTATGTAGTTTGTGTAGTTTTTAAATGCTGCTTTACATTTTTTCTTCCGAAACTGCAATACTTGCAATTTTTATTCTTAAACTAAATTGAATACTATTTTACACTGTATTGGATTTTTATACTTGAACAATTTCATACAAGGGAAGACAGGTTAGCATTTTTATGGACTTTCTCCATCGTCACTGGATTTACTTTACGTATTCCCATACTAGACAGTGTTACGTAATGTAGACATGACTCTCTTGTGCAAATTATTTATTCATTGTGTATATTGCTTTATAACATTTCAGATCTTCTAATCTATTCACTTGTATTAAATATAATTTTTAAAAACGTCTGTTGCATTGTTTCTAATTCTGTAGTAAAAGTGAATGATTTCTCCTTTTAACTAGTATTAATAGGCATGATTCCTATGTAACTTTTTCAGTGAGCATGAAACTCTCCTGTGTGATCTATTTTTGTCTCTGTAAAGTAAATTTTACCAAGTATCCACTGCATACTTAGCAGATGAGGCAGGACATCCTGCAGAGTAAACCTGAAAGAACTCTTCAGATCAATGAACTTTGGTTAGCTAACTATGGCTTGAAAGAATTGAGTTATAGTGGGGACCCATCAACCACAAGCTGGATCAGCACAGTGGTGCTGACCCCAGGTAAACTGAGATTTGGAGCTAGAGTCTACCACTTTGGAACAATGTGAGTGGGGCAAAATGCTTTCTGTAACGCACATTTTGGAAACTATTTTAGTGTATCATGTGAATAATTGTATTGGGATGATAGTACTATTATCAGGGTTCTGAGGTGCTGTTCTCTTTCCAGGTATTCCTTTCAGACTGTTATCCTGAACAAAGAATTGGGCAAAAAACAAAGTCATGAGGTTTCACATTTGTTCAAGTTAGGAGAAACATGTTCTGCAGAGTGAGTGTAGGCCAGTGAAGGGTAGGAAAAGAAATACACCCTGCAGAGTGGAGAGCAGGCCACTGAGAAAGAAAAGAGTAGTCACGAGACCACTAGCCACCATCTTTCATATGCCTGATGTCAGATATAGACCGTCCCATCAGAAATGTACCAGAGGAATCAAGAATAGCATTCTCTGATGGATACAGGTGCAGGGCTTAGAGCTGTCTTGTGCCTGGATCTCTCTGATTGACAGTTTGTTCTCACTTGCCTAGCCACTTTGTCACGTCTTAATCATACGGTCATTTAAATATGGAAATATACCAACCACCTGCCACAAGCCAAATGTGTAGTGACCATTGTTCTAATGCCCATAGTGATAACTAACTGAAGAGGAAGTCACCTACTTGGGTATTTTCATTTTTTAATTTCTGCCCACATGATAGGATATTATAAGGTGGTGTGTTAGAATATCAACTATCACATCAATCACATAGAAACATACATGTTATACTAATTATGGGACAGCTGTTGATCTCTTGGTTCTGATGTTTCCAAAATTCATGATGTGCTTTGAACTTCCCCATTAGTTTTAGATAATTAAAACAAAAGAAAACTGTGTTGACAGCTTCCCTGTCACACTTTGTATTGTACAATTGCCATTCCATTTAGAACCATAACAGACTCGGTTTTAATTGCCTTTAAGAAAAAGTAGATACCAGCTTATCCCCAAGGAGAGTTATTAGTGCACTCCAAGGTATTACCCAGGGTAAGTAAAATAATTTCTAAGCTACTTAATTCAGCCAGCGCACCAGTGACTCTTTTATTCCAAAAGACACGTTTTAATTTCCAGATTTATGAAAGGTCATTTTCTGTTCTCAATAAAGCATCTGTTGCTGAACTTGGAGCAATGTTTATCAATCAGAAATAGGTCATACAATTCTGGGAAAAGCTTGTCAGGAAAGCCAAAGTCCCACCTCCTGGCTGGACTTTTCCTGAGGATGTTCCCTGATGTGTAGTATCAGCAATAGTATCAGCTATAGGGACATGACACAATTGCTACTTTGTAACAATGAGGCGTACATTTCTAAACAAATAGATGTTTTTTATATTGAGAGAGTAGCTATGATATGAAGTCTTCATGGGTTTAACAAGCAACGAGTGAGAGTAATGTGTCTGAGACCCAGGGTGCTGAGTGAGACCTGGTTTCATTACAAATCAGGGAATCTTAAATCTCTCAAGTGGTAGACGTGAGTTAATAGTACCCAATATAGTTGTGTAGCTACTGCAGGTTGTACTCACGAAGTGAATGCCATAGTTTTAATATGGTTTGTCCCCTCTGGAACTCATGCTGAAATTTAATCCCCATTGTGAGATTTTAAAAATTGGACCTTTAAGAGGTGATTAAGGCTCTGCCTTCATGAATGGATTAACTCACTCATATTATTAATGGATTAATAGGTTAGTGGGTTATCTAAGACTGGGTCTGCCATCCAAGCCAGTTTGGTACAGTCCATGTCTCTGGCCATGAAGTACCCTGCTCTACCTCAGTCAAGGTTCTGCCAGCAGGAAGTTCATCCCTGGATGTAGCCCTTCAACCTTGGACCAGACCATGAGCCAAATATACCTCCTTTCTTTGTAACAAATGCAGTCTGTGGTATTGCATCACTGCAGCAACAGGAAATGGACTAAAACTAGGAAATAATTGATAGCAATAGAGAAATCTTAAACATTTGAAGAAATTATCATATTGAGGCAACATATACATTATCACTTTGGTAACTGATTTCAATGATCTCACTCAGTGACCTCCCCCAAAAGAACGCAAAATTATATTTCAGGTTGCTATCATCATCCTATCTCAATAAAGAGCTAAACTTGCTGTACAGAAGCAGTGGCACAGGAGAGAGAGAGAGAGATTAACCAAGAAGGGAAGGGGAGGTAGATGGGAAGATTATGGAATACTTTTTGCTCACAGAGGAACTATATTTAGTTCTTTCCTTGCTCCTGTCAAATATTGTTCTTCTTAATTCCTTCGGAGGCTAGAAAGCGTTCATTAAGATGACAGCCCGAAGTTTTGAGGGGCAGAGGTGAAGAGGAACAAAAAAATAAATAAATGCTTTTTCACGCTTACTTTTGTCCTCCCCTCTCCTTCAAGAGTTCCAGGCTGTTTCCGTGGAAATTTTAACTTTGTTTTGCTTAAGCACTTTGTACAGAAGAGATTTCATTTTGGATATTTGTTCTGTGTTGAATTTTAGAAGCACAATTGCAATTTTTTTTAGCTAAATCATTTTAATTTCAAGCTTTTTAAATTGATGCAATTGCACACATTTGTGGTGTACTGCATGATGTTTTTTACACATATACACTGTGTAATGATCGGACAGGCAATTACCATATTTCTCTTCTTGAGCAATTATTTCTGTGTGGTAAGAACATTCACAGTCCTTTCTTCTGGCTATTCAGAAATGTACAGCACATTGTTAACCATACTCACCCCACTGAGCAATAGAACATCAGAATTCACTTCTCTTAAGCATCTGTGACTTTATACCAATCTCTCCCCAGCCATCCTCCCTACGAACCACCCCAGGCTTTGGAGTGAATAGAACCAGAGTGTTACTCTGCCCTTCTATAAGATCATTTACTTTAGACTCCACGTGTGAGTGAGATCATGTGCTCTTTGTCCTGAACCTGGCCTATTTCACTTAAAATAATGCCCTCGAGGTTCATTCATCTGTTGTAAATGGCAGGATTCCATTCTTTTCCATGACCCACTAGTGTTCTAAGTGTGTATATATGCTGCATTTTAAAAATCTGTTCACCTGTTGATGGATATTTAAGCTGATTCCATATCTTGGTGTTGTGAGTAGTGTTGAAATAAATATAGAAGTTTGGAAGCTTCTTTGGCATCCTGATTTAGTTAGAATTTCTTGTGAAGCCCCCGTACTGTTGTTTACAATGACTGTAATAATCTACATTCCCTGGGCTGGGGATTTAGCTCAGCGGCATAAGCACCTGCCTTGCAAGCAGGCAGTCGTGAGTTTGATCCCTGGTACCGATAAAAAGGAAAAAAACAAATAATAATAATAATAATAATAATAATAATAATAATCCACATTCCCTCCACAGTGTAGAGGAGATCTCTTTTCTTCACCTCCTCAGCATTTCATGTTTGCTTTTTTGATAATAGCCATTTTGAGAAGAGATGATATCTCACTCTGCCTTTCATATGCATTTCCGTGAGGATTACTGATGTTGAACATTTTCCATATTCCAAGATTAGGAGTCATAATTAGAAAGAAATGAGACAATGTGTGCATAAGTCCTTTAAAATGTTTAAATAAAAAATGAAATACATTTATACTTAGAAATTAGTTCTGTCCTATTATGCAGTATTTGGTCACTCTTGACCGACTTCTTAAGTTTTAAAGTCCTCTGTCCAATCACCTGCCTCCCAGATAATAAATATCATTCCTTTTTTATAACCAATATGTCACCACTAGGCTATTATATTTTAAGTGGACTGGAGGGTGCATATTGTTGACCATTCTGCCACTTTTAGAGGTAGTTCCAGTTACATTAGAGCGTAAATTGGGTACAAATCATTATTTCCATTTAATAGTTATGCATTATGAAAGGGCAAATATTTTAAGCTGACTTCCAAACTGAATTTTAAAAAGAAAAACAGTTTTTCCAAGTAAAAAGTCCTGTTGTAATTGTATTTTAGTGTTATTTATTCATTCATTTTTGGTGATGCTGGGGATCGAACCCAAGGTTTGAGCTACATTCCCGGCCTTTTTGTTTTTGTCTGTTCTTTTGTTTTGTTTTTGAGATGGCATCTCACTGCGTTGCTCTGTTGGCCAGGCTGGGCCTGAACTTTTGCTCCTCCTGCCCGCAGCCTCCTGCAGTGCTGGTGACAGCCTGTGCACCAGCCAACAAGCTCTGCTTTTAGACAGTACTCGTCTGACAGCCTCAGCCAGGTAAGAACTTGCTTGCTTCTTAAATATTCCTGACTCTGCCTCCTGTCCTTGCAGATGTCTTGGGTCAAAGTAAAAGAGACACAGGAGATGCTGTTTGGAGAATCATAGGATACACATTTCCCATTCTGCCTTCACTTTATACAATTAAAAGCTGATAAAAAGAAAATAAAAAATAATGAAGAAAGGGGTAGCCAAGATCAAAAACAACTCCTAAAAATAGGAAAACAAGAGAATGGGATAAAGGAATCAGAGTCTTAGGGGCTGGATCATGTCAGCCGAGCTTGCCACCAAACCGCCCGCATGGGAAGAGGGGTTGGTCATTTGCTTAGTGACAGAGACTAGATCTGATGAAGGGATCTGGGGCATTATCTAAAGAATAGTAATTAAGTACGGGGTTTGCATCTGCTTTCTAGTTAATTAAAGACAAGACAATAACTGAATTCTAGAATTTTTAATTA